ATCATATAGACAATATTCGCTCGCAACGTGGTTTCTATTCCAACGGACTAAAACCAAAACAATGAGTGTTTTAATCCCATGCCGTATGTTTGTTTTCTATATTTTCACCATGGAAAGAAAATATATAGGTATTCAAAGTAAATGTCGTAGATAGCTTTGTTGTTGCCCTGTTTGAGACCTATTTGTTACTGTAAAATTGCGCACAACTTTCTCATTCGGCGTCGGTTCTTGTAAAAAACGCAGAGGAGAAGAGATGCTAATTCACAGCCACAAGCAATTTAGTATAATGTCCTGACGAACGTATGCCGCCTTCAACCAGCTAAATTTATTGGTATAAGAGTAACAATTGCAAAATTTTAATAAACCGTACTAAAAATCGGCCTTCTACGGCGTGAAGTATGGCTTATTTTTGCAATTTTCAGGAGACAGGTGATCCCTCGTTCTGAATTTAACCGAAATATTTTAATTTATATCTTATAAATATGACGAAAATATTTGACCAAGAATGCATAGAAAACGGAAACTTTCCAGCGCAGAGACTTGGGCTGATTCATGTTGAATAATTGCTCCGGGGTGTAAAAATGATGTGTTCATAAGAAGTACCAATACACAAAAACGAGCAAATTCTCTAATGATCGGGACGTTGAATACCATTAGATCGAATTAGAAGAGTTATAAGGGAGAAAAGCAACCTTTCCCACTCTCCCAATGGCATTTAAGTGCCATCGCTCGGGTTGACAGGCCTCGAATATTATATTAAATAAAAATTAAGAGGGAGTGCGAAGCCAGTGGAACCCATCATAGTTAATATGACTGCGTGATTCAGGCGGCCCGTCTTTCGACTGGTGAATCGTTTTGGGCCGTTTAGACGACACAGAGACCGAAATCCATCGATTATGCGGAGAACGCGGTACTTGAAAACTCTTACAGACCTTTACTCTGCGTTTTATTGAAATGTAATGCTTCATGTTGTTCTACCGACGCCTATTTTTTCTGAGAATAAACCTTGGAGTTATCGGTAACATCAGGCCGACTGTTCTCTTACCACAGATAAAAAAAGAAAATGAGTATCACTGTTTATCTTCCATGAACAAGACAAAAAACATTTTTTTAAATTCAGTTTATTCGTTTCACTTACACTCTTTTGACAGTATTGACGCTTTGAAAAATAGCAGCCTATAAGGGACCGATCCTTTTTGGGTCAATAATTATACTTTCAAGGATTAAAACCTGCGGTGAATCTTTCTGAAAGCATTTCAAATTAATGATAACGGCAGTAGCTTGAAAAAATATATACATTCAGCGATGAACGCGTGTAACGTGGTGTAAATAGCAGAACAAACACAACTTGGCTAAGATGAGTTTGAACATGATTCCGGCCAAATTTAAATGGAAACAGAAGACTCTAGAGCTACTGCCCAGGTGATACAAGCTCATTAGAATGCTGGCACCAGTAGTCACCATAGAGAGGCTTTTTCCTCAAATGCTCTGTTATGGGTGTTATGGGTGGGTGGTCCATTTCATGAAGTTCACAACGATATGCCATATTTACTCGATCGTTTTTTGACCCCTAAAGACAAAGTTTATTTACTTTTGCAAAGAAGAAGAAGAAGACCAGAAGGTGAAAAATAAATGAATAAACAATTCATTTATAAGCATTTTAAGGTCATCATTGCCAGGTTAGAATAAACGCTATTTTAAGACCAGAATGCAATGAATGAAAAGTGTGCCCACGCTTGTAGGGTTCACTCTATAGTCGCTATGAGGGTCTCTCTTACAAGCAGGGCAACCCTCATGTAGGACAGGACAAGACGATTTTAGTTAAAGAATAATCCAGTGTAAATTCTGGTTGAAAACTTAAGTGCACGTTTTCTGTGGTTAACAATAATTTATTAATAATGAGAATTGGTTACCGACGTTTTGGCACGGTCTCTAACGTTGTTAGAATTTAGCTACATCAGTCGCTATTGAACTGCAAATTAACCATAACCACGAAGATGATAGATGACTGGAGTCCAATACGTTAACAAAAACGTCAAAGCAAGAAGTTAACCCATATCGTGTTACTGTATCTCGTGGACGAATCTGAATCTGAGTTCGTGATCGGTCATTCTTCACAGTACGTATATTTCTTCTGATGTTTGCAACTACTCCTCTTGCGGAAAATTTCAAGAATGTTACATGTACAGGGGCGGATCTAGGGGGAGGGTGCTGGGGGTGCGCACCCCCCTCCCCTGAGATGACCTGCGGCTTTCTAATACAAATGGTATTCTGCAAAAACAAAAAACTATGTGGTTTACTGGTGTCGAAGTAGAGCAAGAGACGAGTGCACCCCCTCCTAAAAAAATCCTGGATCCGCCCCTGATGTAATACGGTAGAAAGTTTCTTATCGATAGTTTGTTTTAGGAACTCATTAAGGGAATAGTTTGATGATTTATTATAAAAACGACAACAACTCGAAAACAACATGTGGGCTACTACTTGGCAAGATTCCAATTTTTGACAAAGATATTGCCCTGAAACAAATTAGAACCAGAAAGGCAGACGCTTTGCTGTGATCGATACAGCGCCCGAGAAGATTACGGCACGGCTTAGTCCGTTTTATTTGGTAATGAAGTTCACTTGCGACCAAAATCCACAGAATGCATGCTATGTTAATCTAGCTGAATTGCATTGCTCTTGTTAACAAGGACAGAATAAACCACCTTTTATATATTTACTGAGCTGGTATCACCGGGAAATGCCGGAATAGCTAAGTTTTAAACGAAAAGACGCATGTTTATAGTCCTAACGTGCCAGTTTCTAGAAAAACAGGCACGCGCGCATACAAAAGTCTATAATGGATAATTGCCATGTTTAGAAGTGACAAAATATACAACGGAAATCTTTTAAAAGTTCCTCCTTTACCCAACTTATAGAAAAATAAAATGTCATAGAAATTTATCTCTTCGGCGGGAAATGCTTCTAATAATTGTGTGGACAACTGGCAGTAAATCGTCGCTGAAGTTAAAAGAAAAAATGAGTTATAACATAGCGCGCGTGCTTGCCCTATATAAGTCCTATTGAGCCGCTATGAACAAAATCTTTATTTACGCACGCCCGTGCGTAAATAAGATGACGTAAGCATTTTGTTTTACCTGGCTGCAGAGTTGTCGTCTTTTAAGCTGCTGTACATGTGCAGTTTTCCTTCTCTTTAAAATATGGAAGAAACCAGCGAAGAACTGCCCGATTTTTCTATCGGCATTGACCTTTTAGGTCCTGATCCAACAAGCAGCAAAAATTGAGCCGAATTAAAAAAACTCGCATGTTGCGCGTTTCGCAAATTTGTCGGAAGACCAGCTGCAGCAAATTTTGGCCGAAAGACATTTACTGGGAACAGAACAGACACCAACTGGTCATCAACAACATTAAGAGGTTAAATTTCCGTTTTTATTGTTGTTTTTAAATTTGTTACACACTTTTGTTATCTGCGGACAATCCGACTGAAGCAGGAAGATTTCTCTGGCAATAACAACACAAATTACACAAGAAGACATAAATTTATTACTCACAAAAACAACTGCTGCCAGGTCTTCTCAAGAAGCCGTAATGACCAGCCAATGTTTGTAAATGAATATGAGTTTAAAGAAGGATGACAGTCGTCTTCGCTAAAAACATGTTTTCTGGATTTCGCCGAGCAAAACGTAAACATCTTTTCAGCAAATCCAAACCATACTCCACGACTTCTTACGAACATGTTAGTATTTTAACTTTAGGTGAACTTTAAGACTCTTTTACCTTTGTTTCTGCTTAGTTTCCATTGATCGTTAACGAATAAAGAAGCAAATTTTCTTTCTCAGTTTTACAGAAAAGCTACAGAAAGAATATTTTCATTCAAACTAGATGATTGTGGTGTGTTCGTAATCAGCCAATAGAAGCGTTTGTTATTGTGTAGCGCGTTACGAGAATTTTGTAGTTAATCAAAAAGCAAGCATTTTTGTCAGCTATGTTATAAAAGAATTTGCTCATGCTTTTAGCTGTGCGTATATCGAGTTATGGATGCACTTGGGAAGTTTGGAGAGCACTCAAGAAGCTAGAGTTGCACTCGGCTATCGCCTCGTGCAACTCTTACGCATCTTTCGTGCTCTCCAAACTTCCCGCGTGCATCCATAACTCGATATACGCACGCTAAGCATGAACAAATTCTTAATTTGTGGAATGGCATGCCGCATGACTTGAAAAATGGCATAATTTTGCGGGATGCAATATATGTAGAATTATTTAAGATTTTCGAAAGCCAGAATCCTGAATTCAAGATTTTGGGATGTCAAAATCCTCAATTCAACATACTGGATCTCCAAAATCCTGAATTTAAAATTTTGGATGGCCAAACCGTTCTGAATTCTGTGAATTCAAGACTTTTGCGTCCCAAAGGTCTGAATTCAAAATTTTGGAATGCCAGAACTCCTGAATTCAAGATTTTGGATTGCCAAAATTCATAATTCAAGAGTTTGGATCGCCAAAATTCTCGTTCAAGATTTTGGATCGCTAAAATCTTAAATTCAAGATTATGCTAGCATCCGCCCTGAATTTACTGAGAATTTGGAAGAATGGTGACAGCCGACAGACACTGCTCCCTTAATTAAATTTCTTACGCATTCGGAATTTCCTTAGCTATTTTTAAAGTAAAATATAAGGAAAATTAAGATCCGGATAACCACTGGATCCCAAGCTAAGTCCGAAATGCTTTTTAAAATCGACTGATTCGACTATAAACTTGTGGCAGAGCGTTTATAACGAATTTTCTTTATTTACATACTATCCTTTCTTTGAGTTCTTTTTTCTATCAAGTTTGACGCAAAACTTCAGAGACTGAATGCTCTTAACAAGACGAGATTAAGGCAATATTTTTCTAACAGGTTGTCAGCAGAGTCATTTTCCTCCCAACCGAGGGCCCAAGTAAGCAACCAGCGGATAGCTTCAAAAATGTTAGAAGCCTGGTCACTAGTTTGGTTTTCAAAATGGCGGGTAGAAATGTTTCGTTTTCGAAGCCCAAAACTCCCTCTTTTATAACAAAATTTAAGGAAAAGGTTGGCTATCAGGAATCCGCCACAGTTGAAACGAAATTCCAAGAGACCGAGACGTGTAATTTAGATGACAGAGAGCACGAAGACGAAAAACCGACCGTACTTTTGGGATCAAATGTCAGCGAAGCCGAAGCTAACGCCTTCCTTGATCGTTTGAAGGAAGATGAGGCCAACTCGCAAGGTTTGTAACGAATCTCAATTATCCTATAAATTAGCTTTTAACTTTCGAAATTTCAGTGTTCATCCTCTAAGCAAGTTTGAAGTATTTAAAAAGTGCCTCGAAAGCTAAAATCTCTGAGCATGAAATTTCCCTTGTGTTTCCACTGACTCATCCCTGGTCGTCTCTCTGTCTGGCTCTCTGTCTCCTCCTTAGTGGCGCAAGGGGTACCCCCTGCTCCCGCCGCGCGCGTTACGCGAAGACGACTGGGTACGAGTCAGGTGTTTCCATACTAGTACTCTTTTGAAACATAATGTGCCACTCAAGTCCAAGTGTCTGTAGGCGCTCTGTCAATAATAAAGCAGTTATCCTATCCTATCCTATCCAAAATCGCCCAACTCCCTCCCCCCCCCGAGCATAGCACGGACATTTGACTGCAGTTTTTATTCGTGCAGTAGGGACTTTAACCCAAAATGAGGCCTGCCCAGTCGGACATTTGACTTTCACGTCAAAACGCCAGTCAGCGTCTCAAGCCAAAGGATTTCGAAATTCTTTCATTCAGCATGTGCACCGCGTTCATGGGTTATTTCTCCTATATTCACTGTTTTGTTGGAGCATTTGAGAGTCTTTGAAAAAGCCTGTTAAATGTGGGCTTTGTGGAATGAACAATTTTATTCAAATGAACAAACGTCCGTAAGACAGCTTTCCGAGATTTGAGATATTTCAGTTGTATTTAGTAGGATATTTACATTTGAATAAATGCTTTGACATGTGGGAAAAATTTGAATAGTCACTGGTGGGTAGTAGGAAGTGTTAGCCAGTGGGGCATTTGACCATCTCAACTGCCAACATACCAGGGAATTTGACCAAAATTTTTCAAAAAAGTCAAATGCCCTGGGATCTGCCTGGGCAGGGGTTGGGGGAGCATGGGCAGTTTGGGAATTGACAGGTACATAACACTGTTTTAACGGCTTTCAGGGGACCGTAACAAAAGCCTTTTTCATACTGGAGATGCATTAGCAAGTTTAAGCTACTTCAACACTGACAGAGAAAGAGTTTCATATATTATTCTCTTTGATAGTTTTGCAATGCCAATGAAAGAACTGAAAATATCATTTTAATGATTATTAGATGCTGAGAAAAAAGATAACATAGAAGAAGGTGGGAAAATTCTCTTTAAGAAACCAACCAAGAGAAAATCAAGTGAAAATGACAAGGGCTTGAATTCCAAAGGTGACAGAAAGAAATCAAAACCATCCAGTTCCATGAAGAACGTCAAGAATAAGAGCCTTTTATCATTTAATGATGAAGAAGATGGAGATTTATAATGATTATTCCAGATATTTTGAATAATTTGCTACTGTTGCCTATTATCATTGTCATCACTGGCAAGCATTAGCAAGACAGCAAACTATTCTTTGTATTGCTGGTTTGCAGCTGACATCAGGGTGGCCATTTCAGTTAATAAGAACAAATTGAAAAGTATTTCCCTTGTTTGAATGCAAATTCTGCAAAATAACAAGGAATTAGAGTATTATACGGGGCGGCTCTACCCCAAATTCCAACCCCTTACCCTATTATATATCATTTTGGACAGAAAAGGTACCCCTTTCATAAACCTTCTAGTGACACTTAACTGTTTTAAATGCACTGTCATGAAAATATGAATAAATCACGAAACCAGAAGGTTTTCTCAACTTTTTCACAGCCATAATATACATGTATCAGCCCTTTTAGGCCTAGTTACCAACCGAAATACCCCACCCTACCCTTACCCTTCTATATAACTGAGGCCTGAAAAAGGTACTCCTTTCGGGTGGAGCCTCCCCGTATAGGCATTATAGGGAGTGACCCCTGGGCCACATGGTAGGCCAATTTCTGCCACTCTGTTGGATCCGGCTTTGTTCCTTTGCTCCAAGGAGAGAGGGAGGCAGATGGGTTCATTTCCTGGATAGCGGCTGTTAAACAATCCTACCAACATGGTCACCTTGTCATGTGGTTGCAAGCAAAGGATGGTAGAGAGAATCCACAGTTTTAAAGGATGTAAGGTTGTATGTGTGAGCAGTCCAAGATATGTGTTGTAGTTAATTTTTTATCTCAGGTAATTTTCATTTTTCCTTTGTTTGAACTTCATTAGAATACATAACCATACTCAAAAAACAAAAGAAAAACAACAATTACCTTAGATAAAAATTTAACTACAACATATGCAATGTATGACGTCTGCTAAAACTTTGCACGTCGAAGTCCTTTTGCAGCGTTCACAAATTTTCCCTGCTTTGCGCGTCTCTCTGTATATATCCACCACTATTGACCTCCCTCTCTGGGGATAGTTGTATAATATTTAAGACTCAATGTAAGTTTTTATTAGGACGTATCTACTCAATACGCAGAGAAAAGTTTGTACATATAAAAGTAGAGAATTGGATGTCTCGCTACGCTGTAAACGGTCGCTTTAAGAACAATACAGATGTAATTAGTTTTTGTTTGCTGTGTAGCCAGCTATTTCTGTTTTCCAGAACTTCTTCAGGTTTCAACGCCAAACAACAATCAATTTGAAATTAAAAAACTTTAGTCATAGTCATCACCTTTTGTCATCATCGCCCTTACAGTGAATTGGCAGTGAATTGGTTTATGACAAACCTCATTAACATGTACGTAGTAAGTAATGCGTTGAAAACCAAACACGTCATAGTCTGCGCAGCAGGCGCTTGGAAGTAGTGGGCACAAGAAAAAAAACCCTCGCGTGTCTCCCTCGCGCGTGCCCGTTCTCTCTTTCGCCCACTACTTCCAAGCGCCTGCTACGCAGCCTAAACACGTCAGTACCGTTGCAATAAAAGGCAATGATTTCCTTCTTTTATCTATGGCTGTTTTGATATCAACTGTCGAGAACTGAAAGAAAAAATTTCACAAGCGAGAGACCGTAATCACTGCCAAGTGTCCTAAATAACACAGAAAATCCAAGATAAAGACATAGGCATGAAAAATTAGAATTATCTACAATGCTTGAGCCGACAAAATTCTGCGAAAACTACTGATTCAGAGACGGTTTAAAGGATGATATCTGGGCAAGATCTTGACAAAAATCGTCACTAACTCGGTTCAAACCAAACTACCCTCGACTCAGCGGGATACCATTGTTTCTGTTTTTACCGGAGGCATAAGTTGAAATAAATAGAAAGTTTTTCACTGAAACTGAAATTGCAATTATTACTTAAACTGGAGCTCAACTGATTTTATTAAAAACGTTATAACTACCGGCAATTGTTGTATATAATTTACTTAGGTCCCTGTTCTTTTTTCGTTCTACAATTGCGAAGTTTTATTCAGCAAAATGAATAGCAGTACTCTGTTAGAGTTTTTTGGGCGTGTTCTGTTCAGTTTTACCCGAAGCGTAACAGATCATTGTAACCCCGAAGAGCCGGAATACACCGCGGAGTCCTTTGGTTATAATCCTCTAGAAAGCACGGGCAGAGAATGGTACTCTCGTCCAGTTGATGAGTTCATTTACCAGGAATACAGTGACAGAGAACTTCGAACAAGCTTCAACTATATGGCGACCAGCAGTCTTAATATAAATGTACGAGATGCGTGCTCTCTGGAGGAGCCTGAAAACGACGAAGCAGCGCGGAAAGAAGAGGAGCTTAGAGATGCAGCATTAGCTTGGAAGCGACTTCGTCCATCAGTTTGTCGCACGATTTGGAAATCAATGTACATTGGCGCGTTGATTTCGCTGGTTGCCGCTACCATTGTAGGTGCAGTGTGTACTGTAGTTTTCTACATCAGTTTTATGACTATTAACATTTGCCAGTTTTATCCAAAGAAATTAATTCCAGTACGTTTGCAGTGGATGAGAACAATTTCATGTTCGATTGCTTATGCTTCCTTTCACATTTGGTTCTTTACAAACGCCCTGTTTCTTTTTCGTTCGTACCAGCTCAAGGGGGTGAGACGAAAACTGTTTTTGCCATGCTGCGTGGCTTATTCGCTTGATGTGGCATATCGAGTGATACTTCAGGTCCTCGGGATGTCCAATTCTTCAAAACTTTCTTCTTTGCAAAAAATTCCACTTAATGTTAACTTCTTCATCAGTGTTGGAGTTCAAGCTTACGTTTTAACGAAGCTGTTCTGTCGGTTGCCTTCAAAAAAACGTAAGGTGAGTTTATTTTTGCAAATAAATTTGCCAGGGTGCCTTACTGTTTTTGCTGGAATTGTGATCGCTCGTTGCATCTACCCTTGGTATAACAAGCAAGACAAGGATGGCAAATTATTGATCGCAGTCTTTGCTCCTCTTATTGGTGTTTTCCTCAAACCGTTCTCGCGAATTTGTGCTCAACAGTTATATAACGTAGCCCATCCGGGATATGCCTATGTACTTTTAACTCCACTGTATTGTGGAACGGCGGTCATGTTTCGAATTATGCAAGCCGACCTTGGTAGTTTGCAGTCGATTGCCACTCTTGGAATCATCCACGGCCTTGCTGAAGTCATAGAACGAAGTTCTATGGTTATCATTGATCATTTCTTGAATTGGCTTTGGAAATTAAGAACACCAGCCCCCTGGGGAAGTTTTCGCACTCCCCGCCGAGAGAGACTAATGGCAGATATCGCCATCATGAGCATGCAGTACGAGTCAGCGGCAATCGTGTCTGTAAACGGACTTTTGTTCTTTTATCAACTTACCTACTTTGATAAAAACTCTTTTCTAACTTCGTTGCAGTCTTTTGGCATCAACACTTCAGTTCCTTTGATAATCGAGTGGTTTTTCAACAGCGTATCTCTGGCAATAGAAACTCGGTATCAAAATATGGCCGTGATAGCAGTCTGGGCGAGACAGTGGAAGAAACATCTCCTTGTAGCGGTGTTTAATTCAGCGCTCATAGCTTTGTGGACCAGCACAAACTTACTAGAGGTTGTCTATCAAAATGAACAATTGTCCGACCAGGTGAACTTAAATAAAACTTGTAAAATGCCTTTTACATGAGCTGCTAGCTATCGGTGACTGAAGAAATGCTATCAGATTTACTTACGGAACTTATTGGACCGCCTGAGGGTGGTTAGACTGCGAGCAGTCTCACTTTTTTCTTGGTCCGTCTAGCAAAACGCGCTAGACACGCAAATGACCACGCGCACGGCTGAAGGGGCGAGACGGGAGAGGCTTCCCTCGTTTCTCGCTCGACGCTCGCGCGCGCGTGAACTCCTCTCACTAAAACTGAAGAAAAAGAAAGACAGTTCGCAGTCTAGAGGGTAGAGGTGGCGTCTGTGCTGCTGATCTTGTTGCTATCTACGTCGCTCTAGTACGTTCTGTGCTAGAGTATTGTTGTGTAGTTTGGCATACCGCCCTTCCCGCCTATCGGTCTAGTGAATAGCTGGTCCAAATGCGAGCTTTAAGGATAATACACCCCCCGATCTTCATACCATGTAGACTTAGTACTTGCTCAAATCGCTAGTTCGCCTACCGTTTGGCGATTCTGGCGATTAATCGCTCTTCCTGCCACTCTCGTCCATGCTCTACACCCCCCCCCCCCCCCCCCCCCCCCCCCCTTGAGGACAGGCGCAATGGACTCTGTATGAAAAAATGAAATCTATAAGCCTCTGGAATGCCATAAGCATTTTCTACCGTTTTTCTTCAGGTAAAATTGGTCTTACTATGATACAAAATGGCACCTAATTGTTTATACTGATCATCATTAATATATTCTAGGTATTGTCACAAATACATGTTGTTCCCATTGTCCCCTCCAATTCCATGTTAGAAACCTTGTTCCCATATTTAACTTTAGAATCCAGGCGTCTGCACCTTGTCCGTGTTCTACGTAATGGATGAAATCTGTATGAGGACTTTTGAAAAAATTACAAGAGGCGGGCCCTTGTTAAAGCATCTAACCCCGTCTGGGGCTATCTCCCAGGACTATTTCCCTTCGAAATTCTATCTCTTGGACGTCTTTTAAGTGTAAAACTGAGCATTTTAGGTAAAGCTTCTACACTAACACTACCCTAATGGCAAAACGCATCATCTTTTAAAAGTTAAATATAATTCTTATAACTGATTAGTCTACGATTTGTACTTACTAGGTTAGTATAATTTTTAGTATAACTATGATTGAACCTTAGCTTATTTTTGTACAATAGGTTTCACTATTCTCATTTATTATATTGTAAACTCCAGTCCCTGTACGGTTTTTGTAATTTTTCAACATATTGTAAAAGCATTGTAATTCATTTTTAATGCGAGAATGTGGTGATCAAACATCTTTATTTTTAGGAATGACAGCGTAAAAAACACTATAATGCAGGTTTATAATGTGTAAAAATTCATGCATATATACTCTCCACTGTTCTCAGCACATTTCTTAATGGTACTGGCATACAAAGGAGAAGTTTGTGATTGATTCATCCCTTCATTTCGTTCGTTTCATTTTTTCGAGCCCCATCTTTTTGTTTGTTTGATGGGTTCTGGGTTTCTTAACGAGAATCCGATAAGGGATTATAAATTCTTGAGTCAACACTTAGCACCAATCAGATGATTCGATCTGAACCCGAATATCAATTACACTCGGAGATTCATGTCGTGAACGAAGGAAAAGCCTTGTCGTCATGTGCTGGCGCATTATAAGTTCTGGGTTGCGTTGGTTATCCGTTTTTCAATCTTTTTTAACAAGGAAGTTGCTATAACAAGTTGAATTCTCGGTAAGCAAAAAACAGTGTTGGTACCTGAGAAATAAAGAAATGAACAATCCGCCAATAAATAATGTTCGTTGTTTATTCCTTCCTGAATGAAAAGTTACGCCGACCTCTGCTAATTGCAATTTGAATAAACGGTTTATACCTCTTTTGGATCTTCTAGGGGCTGAAAATGTGATAATCCGTGAGCTGCAGATCTATGTTAAATACTGGCCCATTTCCTAAACAAGCGCCGTAGGCGCAAGCTCTTAGGGGGTCCGGGGACAGGCCATCAGTGTAATATTTTTTGGATTTTAACTCCCTAAAGTCACCTTTCTAGGGTTTCTGGGTCATCCAGGATATTGGACAGATTTTAACTTTTTCTTTTTTCATTAAAAACCTTATGAAAACTCTGACTGATTTCCGTAAAACGATGGAAACCGATGTGGTTCCTCATCGCATAAAAATATAAAGGGATGATGCATCAGTCAATTCCAGCTGCGCCCATCGCCCCCCCCCCCACCCCTGGCTTACCCCGGGCACTAGCATTTTCTTTGCCTTGGATGGCGAATTTCCGGGGGTGGGGACTCTTGAGCTGTCAAATCCCCCGAGGTGGGGACGAAAAAAGAGGGCAAATGCCCCGTCCTCCGTAAACACTGCAACATTTTTCATTGATCGCATAGTCGAATAGTGCCGTTTTAAGCATTTTAATGTGAATTTTTTGTTGCAATTAACGTCTTCTTTTGTAATAGCGCTATGACTTCACGCCGCAACGACATGCACCAGTTTATAATTTTAGTATTGATGTAAAATTATTGACTTTAAAATAATAGAGCGCTGTCAAGTTATATGTTATGAACAGCTTTATAAATATGAAAGGATGTTTTTCAAATAATCTCAACAGAAATTTGATTCAATAACCAAAAAATGTTGATTCACGTCGATAGCCTCCGATTTCGCTATGTAATTCTGGCTCAATGAGCAATGAAGAAATGCATGCATAAAATCAAGAACATGCCTTTATGTATCGGTCAAATCGAAGCTTCAACATGCCCCCCCCCGGGCATACCCCGGGCATTTGACACCTTTGCCGTCCCGGGGAGGAGGGAATTTGATTATCAGAGTCTTCCAGGGGGTGGGGAATTTGATCCCCATGCTTTAGGGGTGGGGAATTTGAACTGCACCCTCCATTTCATGTAAAATCTTCGGCGTGGCGAGCTATCATGGGGGATGCGGTGTTAGAGGATTTTCGTGGAAATGATTGTTGTGTTTACAGTGAAATACAATACCCATACCAGCGATTCAATACAGCAACATAAAATAAAATAAAAAGCTCAGTCAACTACTTTGACCTACTGCAAGTATGTTAATTAATAAGGTGAGCGATGATGCATGTCAGTGAATTTGTCATGATGTCGCAATCTCAATTGGTGGGATCTTTTTTTATAGAACGCTTTGTATGTACGTGTTGCATAACAAGAAAAGCTGAGCATTCAGTGACCTTGTAGCAGCGATTTCCGCCGCCTTGCACGAGACTTTTGTTCGTAGTAAATACGCTAACAGCGTTTCTCAGTTTTTGTTATATTTATAAAGCTTTTTTTGACAACTGAAGGCGTTTCTGCCGTCCTTCTGTCATTTTTGTGCNGGGGGGGGGGGGGGGGGGGGCATGTTGAGGCTTCGATTTGACCGATACATTACAAACCTCCTCAATTTTTCCTGTCCTTGACAGATGAGCCAATCTGCTTCTTTCCCAGTAAAATCCGCTGTGTAGTTATGTTCTGATAGGAAACCGCCTGCGTGTCAAAAGCTCAGGAATGGCCCCGGGGTTGGCAAATGCGCGGCCCCCGGGCAGCACAAAATTCCAAATGCCCCACCCCCGGGACTGACAAGGCGGACAAATGCCCCGCAGTAGCCCGGGGGGGTGCTGGGCGAAGCTGGAATTGACTGATGCTTAAAGAGGAAGAATACAATGAAGGTTTGCCTGTGCACTTACCTCCCTCCCTCCCACAAAAATGGCTTTGTCAGGAAGAGTAACCACGCTTCGTTTGCATTGCATCCGCGCCTGCTGTTTTTGTCTCCGCCATCTTCCTCATCAGTTGCATAAGACATTTATCAGCAAAATATTTCATGTGAACGTTTATAGGGTTCGGTTATTTTCCTGTCGTTAGTGACTTTAGTGTTTTTTATGTTATGACAATCTACAAGGCTGAAACAAGGAGCTAGTAGTGGTGATGATGGCTTATAGGTTGTGTACCAGTGGAGTGAGTTCGTTGTTGAGCAGGACAAATTTAAGACTTGTGCACTCGCAGGTACGACTTTTCACTAGTTTGTAATCTAGGCTCATGTAGTTTAGACTTTAGCCTAAGTTTTCGATCAGTACGTTTATTTATCTTTCATATAGAATTATTCCTCAGTTCTTATAAAGGTCTTCGTGGTTGTAGATATTACTCATTTGTTTTGTCTATGTGCATTTTAGTTTGCCCGCTTCTCGCACGGCTCACGGTTTCTGCTGACTCAGAATGCAAGGAGTTCTTGGATGCTAGGAAGGATTCTCAATTTCGATCCTCCAAAGGGTAAATAATTAGCAATGATACCAATTACGTAAGAAAAATCGTCTCATGTATTGTGATAGTGATTACATCATCCAGGCCCTAGTTGAACGCTATCCATCGGATAAATCACTATCCAGTGGATAGCGTAATTGGTTTCCCTAACATTTATCTGTTGGGTAGTGATTTATGCGGCGGATAGCGCTATCCAACTTTTGAACAACTGGCGCCAGGACGTTACGGGTAAATAATTTTGATAGTCGGTCAAAATCAATCGTTGGCGATAAAAGTCGATACTAATCAATTGACAGATATTTGAAATCAATAAAAGTCAATCATAAAATTCTGTGTGATTATACTACTACATGAGGAATTTCTGCAATTTGATTGGCTTAGAGCAGTGGTATTTCAGCTTAATTTGAAATACCTACAAGTGAAAATTACAAACCTTTTGCGGGTAGTAGTATAAACAAATAATTGCATGATTTGTATGTGATATTCGGCATAAATGCCACTGATGATATTTGAAAATTGTCTCAAATTTCACTTGCCTAACGGCTCGTGAAATTACGTATAACAATTTTGAAATATCACTTGTGGTATTTATGCCAAATATCTCTACAAATCATGCTATTACCTATACTTATGGATTTCTATCAAAAGTGGTGTTATTATTGACTTTTAGTCGAAAACTATTGGTAGATAAAAAGGAGCAGAAGTGACAGTTTCAATATCCATTAGCAAGTTAATATACGATCTAAAAGTTTTGCACCATATTAAATCAGATGAAGGACTTTTTTGAAAGTCTACTGATACTTGAGCTATTGCAACATTCATTGGAATGGTTTTTATATCTGTTTGTAAATAAGTAGCATACGTGTGCATTCGAAGCCTTGTGACGTCTACATGTACACCGTAATTTCTTCTCCTTACACTGCATTCATATAAAGTTTGCATAAATCCTCAACAGATATTCTCAGAAAAGTCTGAGAAGTTGGGATTACTTGTCCTGAGATCATTGTGATTATCAACTTTTATGGACAAATATAACTAATCAATCAACAATTATTGACAAAATTGATATTGAGCACTAGCAACTTATCGACTAGCTTTCGATCGACATGTATCGTCCTGCATCATCTCCGGCCAGCTGACATAATAAATATTAAAGTGCTAAACTGATCTTGTTCTGATCACACAAGCGTTGGAATTCTTTATGTAAATCTTCATTTTGAGTTCTGGGGTTTACCTTTAGAAAATGTGAACCTTGTAGTAAAATTTATAGCTAAACTTCAGAATGCCCAGCCACTTACAAAGTTCCTATTGTGTTATGCCTTGTTCATTAAAGGGTTTGACTACTGGCCAGGATTACTGAAACTGCTTTGTAGTTACATCTCAAAGTCATGTAGTAGTTAGAGTCCTTCTTTCCATCAATTAATAAATCCCTCATTATTATCCACTTTGTAGCCATATTCAGTTTGAAAATTAAATAAGAAAGTGCTGGCGACAATGATCGAAGGTCAAAACGCTTTTGCTCAAATGCTGTGCTTTGCATAAGTTTCATGTGACAGATAGTCAAAACACACATGAGCAGATAATTGTGAGTGACAGAAGGCCCAAACGCGTGTGATCAAGTTGCGTTCTATGCAGTCTGTTCATTCCTAGTGGAAGTCCAAACAAATGCTGGCTACATACATGCGACGCATGCGGAATAACAACCAGGCCCTGGTTGTTCAAACGTTGGATAGCGCTATCCACCGGATAAATCACTATCCAGCAAATAAGTATTAGCGAAACGGATTAAGCTATCTACTGGATAGACTGTGATTTATCCAGTGAATCGCGCTATCTGGAGATTAGGATTGCGGGCTCCTGTTGTCACTCGCAATTAGGGAGACCATGCCAATTGCATCATCCAGTGGATAGAGATTAATTTTATCCTGTGGATAGTGATATCCACCTTTTGAATGACTGCTGGCCTATAATGTTCTTTTTTGTGGTGAGTAAGGGAGGGGGAGGTGGGGAGAAGTTTGGTCTCCCCCTTTAAAAAATTTCCTGTGTCCACTCCGGTCCATGGGGGAGAGTTCACTGAAATGTATTTTCTATTTCTTTAAGTATTGCTATCACAGAGTTGGTTTATTTTATTCTAGGTTTTGAAAAGTTCTATCCAAAGTCCTCAAAGAAAACGTCTGATAAAGGTATTAGGGCTTTCATTCCTTTGGGAACTATCAGGGATGTACCATATCAGATTTGTGCCTTTGTAGTTACAAGGTTGTGGGGACTAACACCTTGCATCAGCTAAACTAACAGGACTTTCATTGAAGTTTTAATTGCATGGCTGGTCTTTCAGGGAAGGTAGCCAGTCATTTGTTGACTAATCCTCCTATATTTGTTTAATGCACCTATCAATGTAAACCCCGTGGGGGGGGGGGGGGGTGCGGGCAAGGGGGGGGGATTTGCAAAATTTAAAAATTTTTCGATAAAATTCCCCGGGGGGGGAAACGAAAGGTCAATCAAAAGGGTCAAAAAAGCCCCCACCCCAGGGGAAAAAATCAAAAAAAAAAATGCTAAAAAAATATAAAAAAGGAATAAAAAAAAATTTCAAACACGTTTTTACGACTTTTAAGATCGGAAGAACNGACTTTCATGGTGGAATTCGATTTCAATCGAGTTTTACAATCAGATGGGAACTTGAAGATAAAAACTTTCTCAAAATAGACATTATCTGTTTAGATGACAGTTTAAAGTATCGGATTATGGCGATTAAAACAAATGAAAACTTCATACTTTTCTCCAACAGCGTGACTTTCAGAAAGCCTCGAGGAACGGACTTGGTAACCGCTTCTGAATTGATACCAGGAAGACCAGGCTTCTGTCGGTCAAAGTCAAATGTCCCGACCCCGGGGTCGCTTCGCATGATCAAAAGCCTGACATGGGGATAGTCTCAGGCATCAAATCCCTACCCCATGCCCGCACTCCCCCCCCACGGGATTTACATTGATAGGTGCATAAGTTTGACCAATTTCAAACTTAGAGTAGCCGGCTGATTTTACGGCAGTAGCCAGCTATTAATGACTGCCCTGACTACATGTAATATATTTGAACCTCACAATGGCCACTGTACAGTTTGGACAATAAATCATTTGGCTGCTCTGTAGTGATAAGGAAAGGAACAAAAGATTAGAAGTCTTCAAGAGAGTCTGTTTTGTACTGCTTCTATCATACCTCTTCTACCCTTATAATATTTTGTCCAGTTTTATTAGAGTTTGTAGGGCATGAAATTGTACCTAATACAAAATGTACAGGCACCAAAGTGAAACTTCTCTATGTAAACACTTTGGCTTGCCCAGTGGGCAGGGTCAACTCAGTGTAAGGCCAAATTTCTCACATATGCGCTCAGTAAACTTCGCTCAGATTGGAGGATGACACTCTTTCCCTGGACAACTTTCCTTTGTATAAGTGAGGTTTTACTGTGATTGTTTGATTTAAAGAGAAAACATACTTTTGTTCTGTCATTTGTGATGGTATGTTATGCTCATTTCAGGTTCAGATGCTGGTAGCAATGAGAATTTTCATTCGAACAACAGGGGATCGTCAGGGGGTGACAGTGGAGGAGGAGGAGAGGGGGATAACAAGCCCCCTGGAGGTGACTGGTGGAAAAACTTTCGTGAAATCAACCCGCAGGGCTTTGCAATAGGTGTTGCTTTAGCGGCAGTGGGAGCACTGTTGTTCATGAATGCTGCTGGGATGGAAAGCCGAGAGATTAACTGGCAGGAATTTAGAACCAAGTATCTTGAAAGAGGAGAGGTGAGTAATGTTTGGAAAGCTTGCTTGTTTGTTTTTTTTTTGTTTGGCAATTTTTAATGACACATGAAGCATTTATGTTACAGGTCAAAAATTGAATTCAGGTTAAAATTTTTTAACCTAGGTTGATTCTCAATTTTCTTCGTGACCTAGCCCTAGTTATTCATGAGTTATTAGTGGGACTGGGAGACAAAGGAAATTGAGAATCAACCTACATGTAGGTTAAAATTTTTTAACCTGCATTAATTTTGACCTGTAACATATATACATGTACATGTATAGGGCAATGTTTTGCATGAACACACTTTACATACCCTTATTATACAGATTTTTGTAAATAAATAATATTGAACTTCAACTGTTGTTTACTTTCTCTTGATTTCCAATTCAATCCTTGCATGAATTGTCTTAAAATGCTGCCTTCTTCGTCAAGACATTCCCTTAACCTTCTAGGTCCCAAGAGTGACCAACATCAATTTTCTCCTAACAACATCAGCAGATCATCAAGAGTAAAGGTTATGAGAAATACTAAATTGATTACCAAAGGGAGAATGCTTTGATCTTAAACCAAATTCTCTCAACAACTCCTAAAAGAAATGTATGGATATCAGTGTGGAGAATTGGTGTGTGGATCCTGGGGCTTAAAGGGTTAAAATGATCCTGAATTTTTCCCTCTCAATCAGTCAGGCGTGTCATCTCAAATCTTGATCAATGCTCAGTCTTGTAACAGTCTTTAATTTTTGTTTCTTAGGTGGAAAAGCTTGTTGTTTCAAACCAGACACTGGTTAAAGTATTCTTGAAGAATGACCCAAACAAGGTACTTAGATGCAAAAACACGATGATCTGATTGTCGATTTAATTTAATTTGAGAAAAATACTACCCCCGCCCTGGTGCCTTTACATACACTTATACAATATGTTTGGTAATCAAAGATAGTTACTTTGCTGGAAAGATTGATAAAGTTTGACATTTATCCCTTTCTTTTCTTTCTCTTCCTTTTTCTTCCTTTTTTTTGCCCTAAATCACATAAATAATAGTTTAAATAACAGAGATTTGTCATCACTTTTACCCAAGAATTCACATGTGATGATCAGTTCATGTGTGATGGCCGAAATTAATAATAGTACTTATGCTTTGGAAGTGAGTCAAGGAATGATATTTCTGAATTTCTTTCTTTTTTGGTGAAACATACGATAAGTCATGTGATCTCTGTTTTCTTTGCAGAGCCGACTGTGTTTCACCATTGGAAGTGTAGAAAGTTTTGAACGTAATCTTGAGACTGTTCAACAGGAAATGAACATTGACCCTGCTTTCTGGATTCCTGTAACTTACGTAAAGGAATCAGAGTGGCTGTGAGTTTGTATAATCTGTTCACATTTTAATGTAATCAGACCTTAAGCACAGGTCAGAGCCAAGACAGTCCTAGCTGTCATCAAGGGCTATAATATAGGGGTCAGGGTTTTATTTGGCTCCATTAGAAAATATCTAATTTAAATTTTGTAAGCTTTGGATACTTTGGGACATAGTAATGTTCACAACACAAGAAAATTGCAAATTCTCCACTGCATCTGCAATTTCCTTGCATTCAAAAATTGTTGACAACCCTATTAGCCAACAACTTTCCTCTGACGTGCATACTACTTGGCCATCATACATAAGAAGCTGCCTTTAAGAGACTTCCTGCTTACTTGCTCAACTTTTCACGGGTACCGCTCACCCTTGTGGCCTTTTAACATTTGCCTATTTAGGGCATTCTTAATCTTCTGCTGACACAGGTGACCCTAATTTTTTAAGCATGTCATTCTATTTCTATTGCCAGTAAAATTAATTTAATGAAACAACAGTTAAACATTTTTAATTTTATTAACAGGAAAGAACTGATTAGGTCACTGCCTACACTGTTGATTATCGGCGCAGTAATTTACTTGACTAGAAAGCTTACCAGTGGAACAAGGGGACAGGGGGTGAGTTACATAATGTAATAAACTTGTTTTCAATCAAAACTACTGATGTACATGAAGGTACTTTGCAAGAATAACATTCTTCATTATTTCATAGAATGAGATTCAGAAAACTTTGCGTGACTTCTTTCTTGTTGTTAGAGCAATAGCATTAGTTTATATTAAATTCTAGAAAACACATGAAGTTGAAAAAGACTCAGCCTCATCAAAGGAACAAGATCAAGATCTACAGTTCAAGAAACATTTTTAAAGATTTAATTGTGTGTAGGAACAGTGATATTAATTTTGAGATAAACAGAATGTAAACGATCATTAACATTAATGATAGGACAAGATAATGCTTTGTTTTATTACCCACCACTTGGAAATTATAATTATCAACTTTTGATCTTCAAAATTAATTAATTTTTGTAATATGAATTGCTTGTTTTCCTTTACACAGGGTATATTTGGGGTAGGGCAGTCTACAGCCAAAGTTTATAACAAAGAAACAAGCGTTAAAGTTAGATTCAAGTGAGTACTGGCTTCAAGACAACTTACAGTAATGTGAAGACTTTAATTAAGGTTCACGGAATGTTATTAGGACATTTAAGATTTCATACAAGAAGTAAGACAAGAAGTAGCATTATAATGCTCCTTCTGTAGTCAATAACAATCAATTAGAAAGGTCTATTATCGACCTAAAATACAAAATTTAGATTGTTATTATACTTTTGTTTGTATTGTAAGTAATTTTTTTTTCAGGGCTCCTATTTATAACAGAGTTTGCATTGACTCTGAATGGATTTCCCTGAAAATATAAAGGGGTTTATCTTTATCTAAATGCCATTACTTATTATTGTAGTTGTAGTGCCTGCAGATTTACATAGGCTTTCCGGGTGTTGATTAAAGTATAGTGTAAAAAAAAATCAATGGTCTTGAGAGTCTTGTCTCTCGGTGTTTCCTCCATCTTGGAGTTTCAAAATTTTTGTCAGAAGTTCTTGTATTTTCAAACAAGGGTCTTGGCAAGCCTCTGCAATCTTAACCTTATTCACTTCTAGGAATGGTGCATATTGTAATTGCTGCTGTTAACAGGAAGTTATCTTTACTAACATTATAATCTTCTTTTAAACTTTCAGGGATGTTGCAGGATGCGAGGAAGCCAAATTAGAAATAATGGAGTTTGTTAACTTCTTAAAAAATCCTCAACAGTATCATGAGCTTGGAGCTAGAATACCTAAGGTACAGTGAACTGCCTTTTTATAAACATTTTACAGAGCTTAAAAGGGAGCTTAATAACCAACCACAATAAAGATGGCACCGAAAACCTCACTTAAAAAAATTCATTTTTGTTCTTCCAAACTGTATTGCATTTATTAAGCCTCGCTAATTTTTTTTTCAACTGTAAGCGCATTTTCCTGTAGTAGAATATTCTTGTAGACTCTATCCAATTAAGAAAGAGCTAGGAAAAATATGTCGTTGTATATTCATGTCCTCCACAAAATGTCATGTTAGCAAATTTCGGATCATGATCATGCAGTGGATGTCAAAGAAATGTACCAAAAAGCACAATGCATGTGCAGTGCTGTTACATTGCTCATGAAAACAACTTTTTTTACGTTCTTTTCGCTGTTGTTATCATAGTGGGTAGGTACAATGCATCTTAATTTAATTTATTGTAGTTGGCCATCAGACATTTCCACATTTTGGACATAGGAAACTAGAGGAGTCTGAGTTGTTATGGTTGAGTGACAATGTAACTGTACAAACTCGCATTATGAAATTGCGAGCAACAAGAGGAGCCTGCAATCCTAATCGCCAGAGTGCTGTTACACAAATGTATGGCCCTTATGTAGCCAGCATTCATATGGAATTCCATAAAGAATGAGTCTGGAATGCATAGAATGCAATCCGGTCACGTGCATTTGGACCTTACATCACTGTTTGGTAATAATATTAATCATTGTTGGACCAATTAAACCATTGCTAACGTTCAGTTGCTTGCTTTATTTTTCTAGGGTGCCATATTATCAGGGCCGCCTGGTACTGGTAAAACCCTTCTAGCCAAGGCAGTTGCAGGCGAGGCCCAAGTGCCATTTCTAAGTATCTCTGGATCAGAATTCTTGGAAATGTTTGTGGGTGTTGGTCCAGCGAGAGTCAGAGATCTGTTTGCTCAAGCAAGAAAGAATGCACCGTGTATTATATTTATTGATGAAATCGATGCTGTTGGTCGTGCCCGTGGACGCAGCGGTCATATTGGAGGGCATGATGAGAGGGAAAACACTCTTAATCAACTATTGGTGGAAATGGATGGTACGTGCTTCCAAGTACTGGTTTGATGTATTTAATGTTACTATCATGCTTTTGAGATTCCCATGTGAGTCACTCTTTGCTTTTGTTTAAGCTGGTTGAATAATGACAAGGTGTGGCAAGGCACACTTATCACAGCGAGACATTGTCTCCAGGTTCATCCAATAAATACTGATGTACTATAAGCTACCTAGACTCATTGTGCTAAATGACTAGCCTTGAAAAAGGCCTTCAAAACAAGAAGAAGGACCAATCCATGAATGCTAAGATGTATTAGTTTGTAAGCCAACTCACATTAAATAGAATTCATCAAGATTTAGCTAAAGAGATCGATGTCATGAAGGCTAGGCAAATGTTTCGAATACTTTTTACTTGGAAGGTCACTAAATGGGATGAGGTTATTGAATTGCCCATGGCATAGAGTAATATTATATCCAAAATAAGGCAATTCGCAAGGCAAATTTTTGTTTTGCTTTGTTTGATTTAGGGATGGCATTGCAAAGATGATCAAACAGATATACATATAATTTATGGCAAAGATGATGAAAAATACAGATATTAATCGTGACTGCTTACAAACAATATAGTTTGAGTATACTGTTAGTTTGTGTCCAGCTGTAAAATGGTGTTAAAAATTTTGTTTTGATTTTGCAACTCAGTTGAATTTACAGTCCTTGACACAGTTAATGTCCTTACAAAAATGTGGATGCTGACTCATAGTGATGAAGTCTTTGTTTTTCAGGTTTCAGCTCCACTACAAATGTTGTAGTATTGTCAGGTACAAACAGACCTGATGTACTTGATCCGGCTCTGCTGAGGCCTGGACGGTTTGACAGGCAGATTCACTTGCCACCTCCAGATATAAAAGGAAGGTAAGAGAAAGAGAGCTTCTAAAAGGAGAAGTTTAGTAGGATTCATGTTAAATACATATAAACGAAAACCCTCGGTGCTTGAGGTCAGTTGTTGGTTTGTATAGGCATACTCAGATGTTTAATGCTGCTTAGTTCATGTGATGTGTCATTCATACATGTACAGTGTGATGAGTTTCTTCACGTGGTGTTTGCTGAGAGTTTTTTTTAGCCATGTTTTCTCCTCCTCTCCCTCCTCCCCTAAACCACCACTTCCCCTCCCCAGTTGTTTTCTCTGATATTTTCAGTGTGATGGTTGCCTGTTTTTTCTTCAAGTTGGAGCTCATGGCTGTTGCATGGTTGTGCCATTCCCTGGATACTCTAGGCACCCAACCTACATTGAACAATGTAGTTGTTAATGATCTAAAAAGCAACTGGCTAAAATAGTTTTTTCTGTTCCTTTAAATCTAGATATTCCATCTTTAAAGTTCACCTGAAACCCCTGAAGACAGATCTGAACCTGGATACAGTGGCAAGAAAGATGGCTGCCCTTACACCAGGATTTACTGGTAAGCATTCTGTAAGGTTTGATCATAAGACAGTTAAGGTTCAAACACGCCAGGCCACAAGTCACAGGTAACATGTCATGTCATGATGACAGATCACTCCTTGTGTACATACAGGTCAGGCGACTAAGTGGAGCAAATGCTACTGTGACACATCGCGGCAACAAATTGCTTCATGTGTACAGGAGAATTTTTGTAAAAATCTTTGTCTCTGCAGCATAATTTTGTCACCGCAACAGATCGCGTAAATTCTGTCTGATTTGATATTTTGCGGCAAGAAAATTCTATTGCAGAGACCATGATTTTCACAAAAATTTTCCAGTTAACACATGAAGCGATTTGACACTATGACATGTTGCTGCAACTTATCGCGTAGTGTGTAGCGACCTTTAAGAATATTTAAGATGGTCCTTGTAAGTTCTATGTTATGTGCCCTTGCAATAATTAGCACAGTCCTTGTACTTCTTGTATAAGTTGCTTTTTGCTCAAATATGTTTCAACATGGAAATCAGTTTAGTTTTAGTTGCTGATTTTCTGATAAAACAGGTTCTGAAACAAACAGGGTCATTAACAGCCTTGGCACCTGGACATTGAGACATTGATATGCTGGGTTTGTCTTGACCTAAACTAAAAGATTCATAAATACCAGCGGGAAGGTGCCTCAAATTTGAAAATAAACAGTAAACAGAATTGTAAACAGGTCTCACCAGAATCTACATATAATTATAACACTCTTCAACTGGAGGTTGACCCTATAGAAATTCATTTTCACTGCTTTTATTTATTTTTTTAGCAGGCAAGACAAACATAAAACTGGAATATTGCCTTTCACAAGACAAGGCACTTCCCACTGCTGGCAGTGGTATCTTGTGATTAAGAATTTTTTCGCGTATTCATGTCTGTTATTTGTTCTAATTTGTTTTAGTAACATTATATCCTGCTGATAGTCTGTAGGAAACATGCTCTTAGGGTTATGATACTCTTTTGCCTGCAGGGGCTGACATTGCTAACGTGTGTAATGAAGCTGCACTCATTGCTGCCAGATACCTTATGCCTAAGGTGGAATTAACTCATTTTGAACAAGCAATTGAGCGTGTGATTGGAGGTGAGTGCCGCTGAAGCTGTAGTTATGCCACAAACCCCAGCCTCCCAATATCGCACCCTGTGTTCAGTTACTGTAAATGTTTGAATTTAGTTCTAAGAAGGAAACAATCTTTAACAGTAAACAGGAAAGTGTCTGTCAGAGGAACACAAATCTGGGTGTTGTCACTTCCAAAGTCCAGTTGTCTCTGAGGTCCTCTAAGTTCTGCTTTTGAAATTATTCTGTTATTCCCTACCATTATTCATTAATTTTTTCTTTCTTGGGGGAGAGTCGTGTGCGCCTTTTTTAAAGGGGTTGCTTATTAATAATTTTTATAGTTTTTGTCTCCAAGCGGAGGGGATCGGGGGGTGGGGGGGGGGGGGGGGGATTGTTTTTTTTTTTTTTTTTTTTTTTTTTTTTTTTTTTTTTTCTTTTTTTTGTTTTCTATCTTTTTTTTTTTTTTTTTTTTTGTGTGGGGGGTGGGGGGTTGGTGTTTTTTTTTAGGGGGTGTTTTTTTTTTGTTTTTTGTTGTTGTTGGGCGCGGGGGGGGGGGGGGGGGGGGGGGGGGGGGGGGGGGGGCGTTGCAGTCACTTTTTTGGTAGTTGAAACTAGACAACTTTAAGCATTTACTGTAGTTTTGGGTGAAACGTAAACTTCTTACAAAAGACATAGCTCTTTATCATATTACTTTACTACCTGATTAAAATTTCGTATGGAACCATAACATAAAAAAAATACAATTTTGTTTGTCTCATGTTGATTATTAGGCGTGAGAACCAGTCTTGTTGGAGTTGTCTTAAATTTTTCGTTTGTATCATTTTTAGGCCTGGAGAAAAAGACACAAGTTTTACAGCCTGAAGAAAAGAAAGTTGTAGCATATCATGAGGCTGGCCATGCTGTGGCTGGGTGGTTTTTGGAACACGCTGATCCTCTTTTGAAGGTTCAAATTTTGCTGATGGTTTCAATAAGTAATCACCAAAATATTAATTAGTTCACCAAAACACCAGTCATTGTAGCAGCTGATAGACCGTCCCAGGTGTTCAGTGGTAACTGGTCATTTGGCCCCCTATTTTCAAGTCATTTAGCGCGCTTCAAATGTGATATTCCTCATTCTATAATCCATAAAGCAAAACAAGCGTGCTTCAAAATATAATGTAATACTCCTCTTTCTTTAAGCCATGAACCAAAACAAGTACTCTTCAAATAATTCCTCGTTCTAGAATAGGGGGCTCAGTAACTGGGGCGAAATGACTTGCAAGATGACCTGTAACCTGTTCAGCGAGTGCAGATGTGGATGTGAAGAAGAAAATAAAATTGAAGCAGCAAAAAAATTGCATTTTATTTTTTGAACCTCCTCCCTCCATTTGAATTCCTGGAACAGGTTGAATAGCTGATGAATGATCTCACAGCTTTACATGTAAGTAGGTTTCCTTTGCAATTTCAGCACTACAAAGAGAAAAAAAAACACGTAAACAAACGCTTAGATTAGATTTATTGGTTACTGGTTTAACTGAATAATTGTGTATATGTACTATTAACCTTTCACAATTATGTTTAATTGAGTATTTTGGGCTGCTGGAATTTAACTTGCCCTGATCAGTCAGAACAAAGGCATGTGGTCAGTCTGTCACCAAAGATATTCCCCATTGTATTTTTCGCTCCTTAGCTACATTTAGGATTTGTTCATGCTCATTAAAGTAATATTTCCATAAATTTTCAGGTTTCAATCATCCCAAGAGGCAAGGGACTTGGTTATGCTCAGTACCTTCCAAAAGAACAGTACTTATATTCCACAGAACAGGTGTGTATCACGTGCGCAGATCATGCTCGATACTGTTATAAATGAGATATGTTAAGCAGTTTCTCTCATCAGCGAACTTGTCCGCTATCTATTCATACACGTAGTTATCATCTGATTATTAATTTGATCATTCCCGTACATTACTCTTGCAGCTGTTAGATCGCATGTGCATGACATTGGGGGGAAGAGTATCGGAGCAGATATTTTTTGGTCGAATTACGACGGGCGCTCAAGATGATCTCAGCAAAGTAACCAAGAGTGCTTATGCTCAGGTACACATTCATTACAAAATCTAACGTTGGTTACCGGTTGTTTCAATACAAGTTTATTCCTTCCAGGGGTAAATAGTTTCACGTACTTGGCTTAAAGAACAAAGGATAATATTCACCCAAACTGTTTTTCTTGTTCAATTGCAAACTTTACTGGAAGTGATCGAAATTGTTATGCAATTTCACTGCTTGAGTTCATATCGAAACGACCGGTTTCCTTTACATGCCCCCCTCCCTTGACAGCTGCTCAAGGGACTGTCGTTTTTTTGAAATAAACTTTTGTTTTTGTAACCTCTCTTGCCACTGTTAATCTGTATTTTTGGTGATTAAAAATAAAGGGATTTTACTAAGTTAAAGTACAGCCTTCCATGCAGACATCCTTAGGGCTTCGTCACCGTTCATTCCCTTGGGGAGGATGGCATGATGAGGCAAAAGAACGTCTGTGTGAGGGGCTACTAAAAGTATTACTTTGCTCTGAAATCATTGGCATGATATTGGAATGATATTGACCATGATGGCTTGCCTACAGGCTAAATGTTTTGCAATGTGTCAAAGGTGCGCTAGTAGCTTAGCTAACACATTGAATGGTTTGGGAATGGAAAGCTGTTTATTAATAATTATTGAGTTCAGCCAGAAGCATATAACCCCATGCGTTTGGTTCAGCTATCTAGCGAGCTTCTCTGATAAACTTTTTATCGTCATTAATTTTAATAATTTCCTTGTCATAGGTCGTAACATTTGGAATGAACGAAAAGGTTGGAAATGTATCGTTTGACCTGCCACGCGAAGGAGAACCCTCCTTTGATAAACCCTACAGCGAGGCCACCGCGCAGCTTATAGATGAACAAGCCAGGGATGTTATAAACAATGCTTACAAGAGAACCTTTGATCTTCTTACCAAACATAAGGAGGATGTAGAGAAGGTGAGCATCAAGCTTGCAATACATTCGTTTTGTCCAGTTTTAGGGTCGCAAGCATTTTGCATGCAAAACTAAGCGAGAATAATTATTAAGCTTTAGAGGTTCAGTTGTTTTCACTCGCTTTTGAAGGAACCGCTTGACCAATAGAGAGAATTGTGACGTAACGTTACCATGGTAGCAAACTATCTGGGGACAAAGATGGTCATTTGCATTGTCGAACAATAAAAGTAAAGTATGGGCTACCTTTTTGTTCTTAAGTGCAAATCATGCACAGGAGAGGCATGTCAGTTTTTTTCTTTTTTTTCTCTGCCACATTTGCAGGACCACGGTTTGTTGAGATCTAAAAATTTTGCTGCCATGATATTTTGCTATAATGCAACGACTTCTCTCTATCCTTAGTAAGACTCTAATTTTCAGTAACTGACTCTATTTTTGCAGATCGCTTTGCGACTCCTAGAAAAGGAGGTACTGGGGCGAGAAGACATGATAGAGCTTTTAGGACCCAGGCCATTTAAAGAAAAGTCCACGTACGAGGAGTTTGTTGAGGGGACTGGTGGTGACACAGAGGATACCAGTCTTCCCAAAGGACTGAAAGGTCTGCAAGAACAGCTGGAGGAAGAGGACCCCCCCACGAATACCATACCTACGTAGTGCTTTGAAGGGATGGTTAAAGACTTTTTGGCAGGGAGGGGAGGGTTTTTAAGATGTAAACTCTTTGTCCAATGAATTGCCGTTAGTGGTCACACCTGTCTTTTCCTTCCACTTTCAAGAAGTAGAACCCTTAATTCTAAATGACGAAGAAACGACAACACACTTCCAAATGAAAGTACCTGTAAGTTTGAAGAAGTTTAATTCGAATTTTTATGCCTAATGGTTTTATCCACAGACTCGAAAATTAGAGCCACCTTGTACAGTATACACTGTAGTAAACAGTGTGAGGTTTAAGTATTTCCCAGAGACTTTCACTGCTCAGAAAGCAGAAAAAAAAGCTAGAACCATCATGGACAGCACGACAGTACCGCAGTTGAGTACTGCCCAGTAGCTGTCATTTGAATGGTCACACTTTCAGAATGTCACCAAAGGAAAGTACTACTCGGGGGCGAGATGCACTTAGTAGGCCTCTCCCACTGAATATATATCTCAAGTATTTTTCTAACTAACAGACCACTGTTACAGGTATTTGACTATTTTCGAGTTCCACAAGCCTCAGTTTCAAAGCAAGGTTAAGTGCGAAGACATTGATGTGCAAATGATTTTTTATTCTCATGTAAGTAAAACTCATTTTCACAACAAAGGTTTTGCACGCAGCCTCGTATTTAAAGTGAGAGTTTTTTGGAACTCGTGGCTTAATCTAGAATTAGTTTAACTTAAGCGAGTGGTGTGGATCTGGCCTGGGAGCTTTCATTCACAGACTGCGAGTGAAAAGCATATTGCTCGATATGATAGGTGATAAACGAGTGAGAAATTGAGAAACTACAACCTTTGTTTGAATTGAGCTGTCTTAAAAAATTCTCCTGTCAGTAAACTTAGACGTAAACTAAGATTAAGTTCAACTTTGGTGCAATGAAAAAATAAGAACGGTTTGTGTATTGAGGTGGTCATCTTGTCTCTGTCTGAGGAATAGCCCCTGGAGGATGTGTAAAATAATTTCCCACTACATGTATCACTTTGTTGAACATAACATATCGCCGTTGTACATTGTTAAAAAATATAAATAAAATGTAAGTTTCTGGTGGTCGTGCCTAGTACTTAAGAAACTATTTTTTATTATTATTATTATTATTTATTTAATTCATCACACATATAAGAACCACTCTATATTCTACTAAAGAACCATTTCAGCTCTTTGCTGAAAATCAAGCGACAGCTGTTCAAACGGTGGATAGCGATATCCAGCGAATATCCAGTGGATAGAGATTTATCCGATGGATTTCGGACAACTGGGGTTAGGAGTTCCATTTTCAAAACGAGACCAAGTGCAAAACCTTTGTTGTGAAAATGAGTTTTATTTGCATGAGAATAAAAAACATTTTCATATCAATGTCTTCGCATTTAGCCTCGCTTTGAAACAGAGGCTGCAAGCGACTCGTAGATGACCTAATATTGGCGTAATTAGTAGTCTCAGAATGACGCACATCATTATTGGGAGCATGATATTCAGAATCGTCATAAGCATCATCAATATCCTTTTTTACTCATCATCAGTAGCAGGAATAAGAGTCCAATGTAGACCCGGTGTGGCACGGGCGACCAACAACTGATCTTATTATATATTGCAAAATCTCGAGCGAACATGATAAAACGAAAGCTCTGTTCTGATTGGCTACCCAAGCCCCGCACGGGACCCCCTGCGCTGGCCCCGCAAGAAAAAGGTCTCGTTGGCCATATGATAAATGCTTATTCGGTCAAGATGGTGGGATAGTGGCCTCGTTCTTTTTCACATAACACATTGGTGGTATCACAAGACATTGACTTGCTATTTAGCTCAAAGTATCTCAATTTTATTAAAGTAGAAAATTGTACGTGGTAAACGTTGTTTCTTTTAAGTCTACTATTACTTTTTGTATGTTATTATTTAGTGGACGCTTTGATCTGCTAAAGCTTTGCTTTTGCAATGAATCATGGTAAGCCAATTTTTGAAATTTCCTGAAGCCTTCCTTTTCAAAACGAGGATACCGTAAAATTCCGAAAATAAGCCCCTCCAAATATAAGACCCCAAACCGGTAACGCAAAAAACCCTCCGTTAAATCGCCCCTCCAAATATAAGCCCCCCGGGGGCTTGTACTTGGAAAATTGCCATCAAATACAATGAATAACAAAGCAAAAACGGTAAATTTACTTCCAACTATACGGTTAGCCCAATCGATTTTGAAACACAAATTTCCCTCCGTAGATAAGCCCCTCCGAATATGAGCCCCTCCAAAAATAAGCCCCTCAAAAAGGGCCTTTGAAAAATATAAGCCCCGGGGCTTATTTTCGGAATTTTACGGTATGTGGTGAAGTCTCGAGTCTTTGATTTGAAATTATCACAGTCTCATATTACATTCTCGAGCAAACATAACTTCTTTGATATAGCATTTTTGCACTTGGCCTCGTTTTGAAAAAGGGGGTCGGAAACGTTCGGACAGCTTTCGGGTCTCCGAGGATGATCATGAGGTTTCAAGGTGCCTAGTCCCCGTAAAGCGTTTTCCCAGGCCTTCTCGGTAAATTCACTTCGGAGTCAACACGATTTACTGTTGTTGACCATCTTAGCTACGCTTCAGAAGCTTTCGAGGCTATAAACTGAGAGTAATAAAATTACTACAGTACTCAACATGGAAGTTCCATTGTGTAACAATTCGTGTCCCTCAAGCAAAGTCTTAGCTTAGTTTTGCATTTGCTTAGATGTGATTGGCTAGAATCTCTTTTACCATTTCTTTAGCCAATCAGAAGTCAAACCAACCATGACTTGGTCGCACACATTTTCCCGCTCTTTTCGCCGGTTACGCATCTTTTCCTTGAGTTCTGATTGGTTGATTTGATAGTCGGTGTGTACCGTGCCGAATGGCCAGAAAAACTACAAAGTTTTGGCTAAAAGACACTCGATGAGAAAACTGCTCTGAAATGTAAACTGAATTCGATCTCTGAACCTTCATCATTTTTCCTTTCGCATTTTTCACGATTTCGAGAGTATACCCAGCCCAGTTCCCTGTAAAAGGAAGCTGAAACTAATTGTGAAGTTTATCGTGTATGTTATTTACAATTAGTTTTGCATGCATCAACAAATTATCTTCACTATCTTGGGGGGTGTTTCTTTGGGAAAATCAAACTCGGACTTTATAATCTAAAGATGGATTTTCCGCTTCTTTACCTAAATCCGAAAGTGGATCAGTTCGTGAACAATGTATGCTTCAAAAGGAATCATAGAGCAAATCTAAACCTGAGATCAAGAATCTTACATTCTCTCAAGAAGCGCACCTTAGACAGTTGAATATCTAATAGTCTATCATATTAATCTTCAAGTTGAGTTATGTCCTTGAAGATCTTTTCTAGCGCGACCCCATTATTTTCTCACTATGTATCATTCATACAGTTCCGTTTCTATGACCAGAGAAGAAATTACTTGTAACCTAACAGGACGTAATTGCTTTCCAAGCTAAACTACGTAACAATCCATCTTTTTCAAAGCATAGAGTCGCTTAGGTTTCTTTACGGGTTGCTGACTATACTTTAAGACAACTATCAGAAACTGTCTTCCTGGACAATCGCCGCCCATCGCTCTAAAAAAGTTGCCTTTAAGAAAACAAGATTGTTTACTGAACATAAGGTATACGAGCGCATTTCATTCTCCGCCAAAAAATGCTGATCCTGTTTTCTGTTTCACTTTTGACATGTCAAAACCTGCAATTTAAAGGTCACATTCGTGTACTGTTTCTCCAAGACCACTCTCTAGTCTTCAAAACTGAGGTGGATTCTTTCCAAGCCTCGATAAATTATGTGCATTTTTCATTAGTTCCTACTGTAGTTCTTGAAGTTTTTCATCAAAAACCTTATTACTCAATAAAATTATTCGAGATTTCAGTATGCAATTTCAGGATTTCTGAGACTCGTGGGAGAAACCCTGATGAAATCACAAATCACTAAAACAAGTCGAAGTAAATCACCAGCATAAACAATCAGCAATGAGGACAACAGAGTTATAAACACGCAAAATTTTCGCGTTTTGTAAATGTCTAAAGAAGAAAATATTCAATACTCGCCGTAGAAGAATAGGTTCCGTGGAGTTTTCAATTTAAATTCCTCTACTATCTAAGACAAAAATACTATAATCCTTATCCTATAACCTGCATACAAATGCGGTCTTACTTTTCAAGTTCACTTGAAGCAATAGGGATATTTTGTGGTAATAATACCCTTTAATAATTTGATAACTCGTGACGTAAAGTTTTCGCGGAATTTCCATTAATCCACAAAGGTTAGATTCCGACCTGCAAAATTGACTTCTGCGAAAAAAAGGTACCGTGAAAATGTTCTCCCTTTTTTGGTTTGGTTGTTGTTTTACTTTTTTAACATTACTGAAAGTAATGTTTCCTGACGCTTTGAAACATAAGGAAGAGCCCGTGGAGATACCAACGTTCACTAGTTATTGCAGTTTTTATTGGTTCCCTCCACTAAGCCTGAAAGCCAAATTCGTAAAACGCAATAATTTGGATATCCGCGAATTAAAATCACGCGAAAATTTCTTGCCACTCGGTAAAACTTCCTAATACTATTTTTCCACGAACGTATCTACATTTTAACGATGGTTGGATAATATTATGATAACACGAAATTCACCACTTTCCTCTTGACTTGCAAACATAAGTGCGATTGGAGCACTACACTAAAACTCCGCGACTAAGAACCTGTCAGGCTAAAATTTGTCAGTTAGGCTCCCTCTAAAGAAGAACCTGTTTAGCCTAAAATTTGAAACAGATTCTTATTTTCTAAAATCTATATAAAAAAATTCAGTACACTTGAAATAAAGGACTTCAAAATGGATGTAGTCAGTCCTTCAGTCCTTCTGCTCATGGTCATTTTTACATAAATTCTAATTTGGTATACAAATTTTATATAGAGTGATTTGACTTGACCCGTGAAATGGGTAGTAGAATACTACGCGCTAATTCTATTGTCTTCTTTTGTTTATTTGCAGATATTTTGCACTAGTTGTTACTAACTGTTTTACGGGTCAAGTAAAATCGATCTAAGGAAAAAGCTCATAGCTAATACTCCTAGCTACCATGTTTTGATGTTTGTTTGTTTGTTTGTTTGTCTGTATTGTTTTTTTTTGGGTTTTTTTTTTTCAGAAAATAAGAGCCTATTTACGAACCTATATAGCCTATATTTGAGCTAATCATAACTATAACAAAATTCTCAAATCTGATTGGTTCTCAACTGCCCTGATTTCAGCCTTAATAGGACAGTTTAATAGGACAGTACGCGTCATGCCTGAGTAATTGGACAGTACGCGCCATCACGCGCGCGCTTAAATGGCTTTTTTTTTCATTGCTAGCGAAAAAATCTTGGAATTTCTTTAAAAAGAGCCCTATATATCACAAATTTTGTTAAAGTTATGATTAATTGGTAACAGAACTTCGTGTCGTCCTATTCGGTCTGTAATCATACTCTTGATTAAACAAATCGGACTCCCGCTACGCGGTCGTCCGATTTTGTTAATCACCTGTATGATTAGTAATGGTAACAGGACTGAGTGGAGTCCAATTCAGTCTGTAATCATACTCGTGATTAAACAAATCGGGATTTTGTTAATCACTCGTATGATTACAGACCGAATTGGACTCCAGTCAGTCCTGTTACCATTACTAATTACCATATATGCAAGAACCTGTTTAGGCCGACTTGGAAAAATGCAGGTTCTTAGTCGCGGGGTTTTACTGTACAAGGTAATCTCCATCACAGAACTAATGTTTCCTTTACCCTAGTTTACCCTACAAAACTGACTGAAACTACCAGCTATGCCGATTTCCCGGTCCTGTCATCCTGGTCAGTACTATTAGACGAAAGTGGATCAAGTGTAAATAATTTTAAGGCATTAAGTCTGTTCGGCGATAGAACAGCATGTAGGGATCTTTACCCTGTGTGGGTTTTAGAACGTAATTTGCAGGCACGATTTTCAGCCTTGTGTCATCTGCTCTGATCCATCCGTGAACTGGATGACAGACATCGCTTGTGTAATGACCTCCCCACGCGTTCTTTCCATGATGGTAAACAACTGAAAAGAAAGGAGATGGCTTTATTTATTTAATATTTTCCACGAAAATAATTAAAAGTTATTGGACTCGGTTTTCGTAAGATATGAAGAATTATGCAGATCGAGAGGAATGTTATCAACCTCCAATTCTTCATATCATACGAATGCCTAATCCGATAATTGTTTTATGATTCATTCAAAATATTTCTCCGTTTCTGATTGGCTTAAATGCCCCGGCCAATTCTTCATAACCGGCTACCGTTGACCAAATTCAGAAGACGTTTCACGATATCAGTAAAATTTACGTCGATAGATAGGAGAAGTCGTTACGTCACTGCAATGGTAGCAAAATTTTTAAAAAACGAGAATTCGCACTGTTTCAAACTTCAACGATCTTATTCAGTTTCATTCAATTTGTCAAATGTTGGCGAAATTTTCTGGGGTTGAATCTCAAAGAACAGTATCGAAGTTTAGGAAAAGAAAAAGAAAATTTTTCTGTTGTGTTCACCTACTCCATTAAGCGGGCGCGTGAAATTAGGAAGTTTCATGCGTGATGCACGTGCAAAGTTGTTCTTTTCAACGACATGCAACAGAGTGTACAAAGAGGGGGGAGGTACATAATAGGGAGGAGGGAGAAACGGCCCCAAAAAGTAGGGAGGAGGGAGAAATTGGCTGAAAATGTAGGGAGAAGGGAGATTTACCGTCCTGTACCTCCCCCCTCTACAAACGGACGCAACATGTAACATCCAACAATCTTGCATCCGTTTGCACGTAGCAGTAAGGCTTAATGACCAGTGGTACCCAACGACCGAATGTTTGCAAATATGTCAGAAGTGTCTCAAATAGTTTTTCATGCTTTACAAGCCTGTTTGGTTAATTTGGAGCTGTCCTAAAAACTATTTACCTGTTCGGATGTCTTAGAAGAACTTTAGTTTATGGTGGCTTTTTCGTCTCATCTGATACTGTTAGACACCCCGACGGGTGCGGTCGAAAGTTCAAGGGGATGGAATAGTCGCAAAATCATGAGAAAACTGTAGGGGACATTTTGTCTGATTAAATACCGACATTTTAAGGAGAAGCGTCACATGCGACAAAATAGGTCAGATAACCTTACCAGCGAAAAGCTTGTAGGTTTTTTGGGCAGCAGAATATTTGTTCTTGACGTTCGATGATAGCAGTTCTGTTTTAAAAAGAAAAAAATATGCTTAGCAGTGAACGCTCAGCGCTCTAAATATAAAAAAACCCAGTAACATAAAAAAACAAACAGTGAAAACAGCTCTAATATTGATATTCTTTAGCAATAAAATTAGACGAAAGTTACCTTTGCCGATACTTAGCTCCAAGGGGTAGTCTATAACTTTCTGAAGCTTTTGACTTCCAGCTTTGGAGTAAATAAACCTTTTCAAGTGAAGAATAAGAACCTTTGGGAGCCTTTCCAAGGTAATACGTCGGGAGATATCGACCTGAGAAAAATGAAACAAATAAACAAAAATAACTTGACATATCCTAACTTCTTTCTAAATCTAAATCCAAATCTACTGCTGTGCAAAGCTCCCACATGGGATATATGTGCAAAGGGACTGTGCCACTGTACCCTGAATGCTTTTAGCTCGCAAACTCTCTACCCATGGGTTCCATTTCCTTCCCTTCTCGCAAAAGCAAAAATAGAGTGTTTTCACATGACGTCTCGGCGGCCATATTGGTGTCCCAAAACAATAAAACGGCGGCCATGTTGGTGTTCCAAACCAGTCCTGTGGGAGTTGAACTCTTTTCTTATGCAAACGCTTTCTTTTGTTCCAACAAATTTGCATAGATGCTGGCCACGTGAGTGAAAACACTCTATAGTAGACTGCAAAAAAGAAGGTTTTTTCCTCAAAATCAGTAAAGAAATCGGTAAAGCGTGGCGTAAGAGTCTTACACGCGCGAACCGCGCGAGCTCACACGCCCGTAGCGTCTCTCCCCAGTCTCGCTCTCTGTTTTCAGCCTCGTTCCACACCTTTTGTTTGACTGCTCGCGCGTACTTGAATACCCAAAAATACGGACTGTTTTGCAGTCTACTCTATAGTCACTCGATAGAACACATGTGGTTGTAGCTTCTGTAATTTCCGGCCGGTTACGCACGGATAACTTTTAAACTACTTTATTTTCACTCAACAACTGTTGCTGTGGGTAATAGAAAGTTGCAGATGACGAGATAATGGTATGTCGCAAAGTTTTACTTTTGACGATGGTACCTAAGAGTAGTCTCCCACGCAGCCGTTGTCTCGTCACCCAACGCTCCCTGGGGAGGAGCGTAGCGTGACGAGCCAAAAACGGCTTCGTGGGAGGCTACTCTAAAAGGGGTGGCTACGCAAGTGTTAACCTTGCCATTATGTGGCATTTCAGTACATCAACGTATTGACTCGTTGAATTCTTTAACGGAAATAACAAAGACCTTGAAACGATTCAAGAACTTCTTTTAAAAATAATCCCATCCCAATCTCGTCTTCTTTATCCGCCCTTGCGTAGCGTTCCCACTGCTTGCCTCCTTCCCACAGAAATACAAGTTTACTTTACCTGTACTTTGGTCTTGGTACAAGTGTATCCCTGTACCTCTTCCTTTACAGCCACATTTTTCAGAGCTTCTTCCACCGACGTGACAGGCTAATGAAAACAAAAAGTGTTCTTAAAACAGTATTAACGGCCTTGGCAGTCAACCAAAACACTCCTTGCCAGACATGGTTTAGATGACCAAAGGGGGGCGAACTTAAGCGGACACTTACAAAATCATTGGCCTTTATTACTGTCAAAATGATCTGCGGTCTCAGTCTCCTTAACCGATGTCCCAAAGAGTAATTTTTATTGTTTCCCCCTCCATTGTACAGTCACTTCAACAAGATGTACCATACTATTGCAACAGATACACTGTGCCTATAGACTGCTTGAAGTTCGCCTTTTCTCTTAATTAAAATCCATCTAGTTCTCAGCTAGCGCGATTGCAAACCATGACGTTATGTTACAATAAAGGATTAGGATCAGGCGAGAAAAGACGGACTCTTATTTTTTCTTCTCAGGCTTACGCCATCGTTTATCGTGGCTCGCAGCTTCGCCGCTCGCAGCTCGCGTGCTCGTGTTTCTCTTGCAGTAACTTTGCAAAGAAAAATAAGAGACTGCTCGCAGTCTACTGTGCCTACTGCGCATGGTCTTTTACCTCCTTTGTTTTTGCACAAGAGAGCTAGAAACACTGGGGTCAATTTGTCGCGTGACTTGGATTTATTTATTAATTTTTCTTGATAAACGATAGCTTTGTCAAACCTGTATGAAATGGTCGACCTCAATGAAGCGATCAGTACGTTGAGCATTCGCTAAACGTGACTGCTTAATATATGTTTTACTGTATACGACTACAGTCTAATAAACCAACCTGTACATCTAACTGAAGCTCGAAGAAAGGTTCCACATTTGCAGAGTCCTTCAAACCAGTCTGATGAACTGAGGAGCGAAGAAACCCACCAAAAATATCCGAGATAAGGGACGATGGGTAGGAAGCCTAAGAAAAAAAAGGCAACATAAATAACTTATTCTTGGTTTGCAATGTTGGTTCACAAAACAATGAAATTTTTTGCAGTCTTTTAAGGGAAAAAGAAAGGAAAAATTTATTCCCCGTAGGAGAAAAACAAACCCGGGTGGGGCGATGACTTAAGTACCCTCCTACCGGGGGTTGTTTTTGGGGGGGGGGGGGGGGGAACGGAGGGGGCGTAAGAGTGACGCCATCCAAAGAAAAAGGGAAGAACGACCGCCTGATTGCAGGTTATGATCTGAGCTGCAAGCCAGCAATTCAGAGGAGTTGTTGGGGTGCTTTTTTCGTGTAAATGAGAATAAATAGACGAAAATCATGTTTTCACAATTATTTGCCAGAGATCACCAAAAATGCCATTAGGTAACAAAAGCACTGTAAGGGGCTACATCATGGCATGCACTCTATGTAATAAGGCATAAATGATCATTTCTCACCATTCTTGTCACTGTCGACTTATTCCTGGGCCCAACTTGTTCCCAGTCTCCCTCGTCTTCCCACCCATCATGAGAATCTACTTCATGTATAATGTTTTCTATATTTTTTAACTCTTCATTTTCCTTTTCAGAAGCTACAAGGAAACAAAGGACAGCTATGGGTTACTTTAAACAGAATGTATAGTCTGTGTGGAATGCACTCAAAATGGAAGAGGAAAATTGGGCATGCAAAAATGCATGTAGTTTTCAGTATTGCTCATCTCTTTAGTTTCCTTCTCAGAGGCTAGAAGTACGCAAAGTATATCTTTAATGTACTTCACACTAAGTACCTTCTTGTCAGTACTGCTTATATTGGATTCACGGAGCCTTACCCTCTCACTCCAAAAAATGCACAAATTTCAACTTCAAGAAATATGAATTCTCTATTTTCAAATCCCCCATAATACACTCTGTTTGTCCCCCAAATTTTGCATAAACCATTGTTTTCAAATGCTCCTGGGAGCAGTGAATTTTCCCAAGAGCATTTGAAGACAATAACTTATGCAAAGTTGGGGGTGGGTGGGTGGGGGGGGGGGGGGGGGGGGGGGGGGGGGGGGAACAGAGCATATTATACACTCACAACAACAAGAAAGAACAATAAGCTCTTAGTAGAATTTGACATAAATTATTGTACCTTTGTCAGGCACAGAGACCAACTGGGAAAGCTGTAACATCTCTTCATGCATACCATTCAGAATACAGCTCAGAAATTCTTGTGCATCCTCTTGTCGACCCTTGCAAGTAATGATGAATAACACAAAAAAGCACTGTCTTGTTAGTACTACAGTTCTTTACAGTAGTGTCATGCAGGATTGTAGCCAGGGGCATAGCCAGCCCACAGACCTGTAGGCCTGGGCCTACGAATTTTTCCTTTGATCACTCTACCACTTGTAATAAATTGTGGGTTGTTGAGGTGAGCTGAAAAGCTTAAGACCTCAAAGTGTTGTTGAGCTCAGTCATGAATGCGCGCAATTTTCAGGATGTGTGGAAATGAAAGTCAGTCAGGCTTACAACTATTTGAAAAGCTGACTATGCCCCTGGTAGCCAGACTTTTAACTGAGATTAAAATGAAACTATAGAGTGTAGGCCTGGAGGTATCCACCCTGAAAAAATTGAAATCTACAAGCCTCTGGAAGGCCATAAGCATTTTATGAGGTTTTTCTTCAGGAAAATAGTACAATAAAAAATGGCACCTATAATTTACATCATCATTAATATATTTTAGGCATTGTCATACAGGTGCTTCGCAAATTCCCATTGTCCCCTCCAACTCCATGTTAGAAACTTGGTTTCCATATTTAATTTTAGAATTTTAAAACAATAGAAAATTGTACATTGTAACTTCTAAACAATAATCATTAAAATACAGATTACTAATGCTGACGACATGCATTGCTCATATTACACTTATCGGTTCTACCAGGGCACATTTTTCTTCAAATGTTTTTGGAAATTATTTCACTGACAAATTTGGCAAGATTGTGTCAGTGGGTAATCAAGATACTGAAACATGGATATCACCCTCACAAGACTGCAGTAAACTGTTTAATAATACTTAGGGAATGACAACTACTCCTTTTCTAAGTGCTATAAAAGATACTGGAAAAGATTTCTGGTAAACCTAAACCTCACCTTCGCTGAAAGTGAACTCTGAATCATTGACAACATTCTGTAAACATATGAGGGTTCAAACGGCTCCCCAATTTTAAAATCAGATTTGGATGATGAAGAAGAAGAATTTCCTGTTCAAAAAAGGAAAAAATAACAAAAAATTAAAATCTTGGCATGTGAATGACCAGTTTTACCCAAATCTATATGTACAACATTTGAAGCACTCCTTCCATTAAAGATATGCATATTTCAAGAAATCAATATTTCTACCAACAGTCCTCCGGAGTTTAAATATTGAAATTCACACGCATGGAAGGTCAGCAAAAGACGTCCATTTACAAATATTTTGCTTCTCACTGATTCTTAGAGTCAAAGTTAAATATTTAGAAGTTGTTACTCATGGAAAATGAGCAAGTTTTATTTTCTCTTTTCTCACAAATTCAGGTGCCTTCAGTAGTTTACACATGAATATTGATCGACCCACCTGATTTAACTGGCAGCTCCTTAAATTCATTCACAAAGTTTATTCTGTAGGAATGAAGACAACAACCAACAATCAACCAGGAAAACGATCAACAGGTACTACAGCATATGTTAATAATTTTATCAACTTGCCGTGAAATACTGTAGTAATCACCCACCACAAAGACTCTGGTTAAGCTTAGTTTGATTCAGAATTCCCTTTGTTTCCTGGCCCTAATATCATTATTCACAGGAGACAAAGAAAATTCTGGTTTAAGCTGAGAATACAGAAGGAGGGAACCATAAGCCTTAGGGGTGCTAGGGTTTAACCTCCCCCCACACCTCTTAAAGTAATGTCAGGTACAAAGGTAATGGTGTGACTGTTCGAAAGAAAACCCTTTAGAAGAATTGTTGCTTATGAAGATAGAGTCAACTCTCGCCTTCAAAAATAAATGTAGGAGGTTTGACTGGAATAAACTCTCAATACTACAGACTTGCACTGGTAGGGACACTAAATTGCAGTCCCAGTGGGGTCCATAATAACAGGAATTGGCTGCATTTGTTCTTCTGTCACTATTCTTCAAATTAAAATACTGTAAATCCTCTATTAAGCCCCCCCCCCCAGCCTCTCAAATAAGCCTCCTCCCTCTTATAAGCTGCCACTTTTAAGTGGAAGAAGGTTAACATTAAAGCCCCCCTCTCTATTAAGCCCCCTCCTCCCCTCCCCTAATTATTCTTCACTTATAAATGATAGACTGTATTAATCAATTACAAATGAAAAACTTCATGTGGGCTGAAACAGGATGGTTTATTTATCAACTGGACGTTCATATTTGATTCTGATTCTTGGCTGTGTGACCTCCAACCTTCTTGAACATGAGCTTTACTGCTTTGTATTCTAGTTCTTCATGGAGAACTGATACCATTGTATTTTCTAAATTAAATAGGCCTCCCATCTCAAACAAGCCCTCCTCCTCTATTATAAGCCCCTCCATCAAATGGGCTTGAAATAAATAAGCCCCCAGGGGGGGCTTAATAGAGGATTTCAGTATGTAATTGGATGGAATTTACAGGCATACTTACAAGCTGTCCAGTATAGGTGTTGATGTTTCTCCTTTGCCCTGAATAAATGGCAGCTTACGTAGAAGATTGAAGAATGGTGCACACCCAGCTAATGCTTGCAATGTCTGATGAAGGGTGTTAGGGCTAAATATATTAACACTTAATTATTATTATTATTATTGTTATTTTATAGTATAAAGCTTAAGGACATTGTTTTACAAGAGATGCAACTTTTGACTGATTAACCTGTAGTCCCCAATCACTGATCAAAAGGAAATTTGGAATTGGCATCTAATTTGGCAAAATCTTATCTACATGAAGTCAAAATCTACAAGAAATCACATTGCATGCAATAATGCTCTACCAGTATTGGAAGGAGTTGAGTATATCATAAAGCACAGGGTAAAAGAACAAAAAGAAAATGCAATGGAAGAGGGGGGAAGGTTCGAATATAAAAATGGCAGGAGTGCTTGTTGAAAAATTCTTTAATTACCCCTAAAAGGCAACAGAATCATGTGTTGAAAGCAAGGCACAGATTACTTTAACCCCTAAAATCAGTACCCATAAATCAGTTGACTATCTTTTTATGAGTAACAAAACATTTCCATTAAGTTTTGGCTTGACACACTTAGAGGACCATAAAAAGCACATTGACAATTCTAAATAAAGGTAGTCAATTAGATTAAACCATTCTAACCATTCTAGCCCCCAGAGAAGCTTGTCCTTAAAAATCAAAGGATACTGCATTAATGTAACACCAGTTTCCTCTGTTTGTCAGCCCTCTTGGAATGAAAGGCTTATGACTGCAGTTTAATTCCTGTTTCTGTATTGCTTCTGCAAGAAAATGATGCATTGATCAATATTATTATGTAGCAACCTTTGAAAGTAGACAAAAACTCAAATTGTGACGATTATTTATTTTTCCATGACCCAAACAAATTCTTCAAACTTCAGTAACTTTCTTTGGAATGCAAATTTTGACTGTCTATGAACATGTAATCCCCTGGACAATGATGATGATGATGATAATGATGATAATGATGACGACAATGATGGTGGTGATGATGATGATGACATTGAACGACAACAACTTTGACGACCATTATGACCATAACAATGATGATGACGATGATGAGGATGCTAACGATCGTGATGGTGATGACAATAAAGGGGGATGATGGTGGTGATGATGGTGGTGATGATGATGATGATAATGATATGATTATTGAGAAACAGGAAATATTACAACAGACAATTACCTGCAAATTTTCTGGCATTCTTGTCCTCTTTTACTGAAACTATTGTCTGACCACCCTGATCATCATTCTTTTTAAAATCTAGAGCTGGAAATGTTACCTCTGTCCTCACAACTGGGCTCTCTACTTTGACAACAATGCCTGGAGATTTCTTAGAGCTGCTGCCTTTAAACAAATCAGCCCATGAAAGAGCTTTAGGAGTCTCTTTCTTTTCTGTTACTTCTTGATTTTTACTGTCAGATTTCCTACTTGCAGCCGTTGAAGTTTTGAGATCTGCGGTGCTTAATTCTACACCCTTCAACTGTGGAACACTAGAAGATGTCTTGAACTCTGAGTCACTCTGAACAGGGCTGTTTGAAGTTCCATCCGTGGATGAAGAACTTTTTCGATCACTTATAGTCTTTCCATCACAAGAACTGGTGCTATTTCTTTGTGATGTATTTTTATGGTCTGCCAAATTACTGCTACTGTCTTTTGACTCTTCATGAACTTTTACAGTATCTTTGTTGCCTTTTGTTTTATCTGACGTGGCTAATAAGCCTGCAGATTTGCTTTTACCAACAGAACCAGGTGAAGACCTATCCTTCTCAGCACATTCACTAGAAGAGCTGGATACAGAGCCAGAACGCTTTCTCTGGCGTCTTCGCTTACGGCGCTTCCGTGACCTCTCAGTGTCAGCCTTCTCTCCCCGTTTCTCCTTTACTGTTGACGACAGGGGTGGAAAGCTGTCAGCATCAGGAGATGATGTCACTGCTGGAAAGCTGTTTAAAGAGAAAAAACATAATTAGAAATGATTTGATTGCTATTTTTGTCCCCCAAAAGATTATACAGATAAAGGATTTTCTTCTGTATGTTGTTCCTGATTCTGATGATAAGGACATTGTAGTTTATTGAGTTATTAAGATTTGCAAAATAATTAAAATCATCTACATATGTAGATGTGCCATTGCGTCTACAGACCTGCCAACCACTGACAAAGGAAACTTTGGAGACTCGTGAAAAAAAATTGGGAGAATCTACAAAAGTAACTTGAGATTCTATTTTTTTCGCGATCAAGATTAAACAAGCCGTTTTTCCATTGGGGGAATTAAATGTTTATTTAAATATTACCCTGCTTTAGTGGGGTAGCAGACGAGCGGTTAGGAAACCCAAATGGCACAACAGTTGACTGCCTAACACATTAGCTGCATCAATATACAGTACAACTTAAAATTAGAAAGTTGCACATGTCATGTAACAGTCATCTCACAGGCCAGGGACATGACAGGATCCATGACAAGATTCAAACCTAAGACCTAACAAACACACTAAGAAGGAAGTTCTACCCACAGAGCTACAGAGACTCATGAACAGCAAGCCATAATTTACAAGACTTAGAATATTTAACCCTTTAACTCCCACAAGTGACCAACATCAATTTTCTCCTGGTTTTATCAACACATAATCAACAGAAAAGGTCATGAGAATTAATAACCTGATCACAAAGTGGAAATGCTTTGATCTTTTACTACATTCTCTCAACTAATTCCTTGATGAAATGTATAGAGATCAGTCTGGAGAGTTTGTATGTGGATATTGGGGCTTTAAGAGTTGAATTTAAAACCTCACCTTGCAGTTCCACTTTCCTTTTTGCCACTACCAGGCTCTACAACGATGCTTTGTCCACCAAATACAATATGTTCATTGTTACTGCGGATCACTGGCTCAGCCGATAGTTCCTTTTCTCCTGCATCAGTTGCAGATTTCCCTGTTTTTGCAGGAGCACTCTCTTGTTCACTTTCTTGTCCAATCTCCACACCAGAGTCTTCTAGTCCTGTTGTGACATTTTTAGCTGCTGAGTTGTTATCAGCTGCACTTGATGCCCTGGTT